CCTTTGCGGATGTCGGCATTTCGGTGAGATAAAACGTTCAGATTTTGAAGAATAAGTCGTGGAAGAATTATCTAATTGGTCGATCAGTAAGAGATCTGCACGTAATTTTCTTTCTATTAATTAAGCAATTGATATATAATTTAGCTTCATATGTTGAAGGTTTCGTATGTTTCGAAGAATCTTCATCAGCAAAGGGTTAATTACTATATTCGACTCCCTGCAGTCGATATTTTATAGCGATCGATCGAATAAAATCATTTCTCCTATTATTTATATTATTACTGATTAATTGTTATATTTAACTTTCTAAGATCAGCACGTAGTTTTCTTTCTTTCTATTAATTAAGCAATTGATATACAATTTTGCTTCATATGTTGAAGGTTTCGTATATTTCGAGCGATCTTCGTCCGCAGAAGGTTAATTAAATATATATAAATAAATATATATTTCACCTATTATTTATATTATTACCGATTAATTGTTGTATTCAACTTTCCACGGTCAATACTTCACAACAATCGATCCAACCGATTCATTTTGCCTGGCCTTTCTGCGTAAATAGTCCTGTCGTCGTTGCGTCTTTGCGTCGCTGCTGTTTCTCGTCCCCCTTCGCCCACGCGACAATAAGGGCTCCGCCCGAGTTCTCCACGGGGGGTCGTTTGCTCCGTTGTCTCGTCCTGAAGGTACTCGCGCAGGGCCGTCGCTCGAATTGTCCGCCGCCCCAGGTAAACAAAATTCTCTACACCGTCAACGGACGATTTACGATCGGTAAAAGTTCGAAGGGCGTGGCCGGGGAATCAGCAAACTCCGCGAATCGTTTGCGCAATCGTTTTCGTCGGTACTCGTTCGTCGTTTCCGGGAACCCCTCCCGAAAATTGGGCAGCGTCGCCGGGACCATTTTTTCGATCTGTTGGAAGGGGTCCAATTCGTGCGGTCCAAAATAAATCGAGCGGAACGAATATTTCACGCTGCGATTCGCTCGTATTTTTTATCCGCTGTTTGACGTGCGCGTTCAATTCTTAATCCGACAATTGTTTGCTTCTTCGTGTCGGTGGCGTTACTTGTACGTTCATCAAATATTAATTAATTAACTTTGATTTAACCATTTGATTTAACCCTTTGCGGATGAAGGTTCTTAGGAATGTACAAAACCTTCGACAGACGAAACTAAATGATTTATCAATCGCTTAATCAATAGAAAAAAAGGAAACTATGCAGATCTCTAGATGTTTAAGTAATTAACTCACTTGCGGCTTGGTCTTCCAAATATGAACATTCCATCTCGCCAAAATGTCGACAGTCCGCAAAGGGTTAATATAAGAAAATTAGAGACTTTAAAATTCAATTTATAATTTTGTATCAGGTATCAACATATGAACCATAGGAATAAATTGTTCTCGTTAATTTACGTACGATTTTTCTCTGTTAGTTTCAGGTAATATTAATATCTCAGCAAAAACTAATGAACATTTATAGTGAAAGATATTGTCGAGTGGAAAGGGTGAAATATATGATGAAACTTGTACTCCTTTGCATTCGTAATTTCTGAATGTATTGTAATATGTAAAGGATGTGGACTTAAAAACCTATCAAAAAGAGTAAATTTTGTACAACATTTTTTATAATTTCACGTGACAAATGTGTCTTTTACTCCTTTGCATTCATAATTTCTGAATGTATTGTAACATGTAAAGGGTGTGGACTTAAAAACCTATCAAAAAAGAGTAAGTTTTGTACAACATTGTTTATAATATCATGTGACAAATGTGTCTCGTTGAACCGAAGATTACCGTAAACGCATTGGCGAAGGATATTTTCTACACGGCAGCGACCGACCGCATCCTTCGGCAACGGCGCGTGGCTCTCTCGCGCGAGTCCTTTCTGCGTCGTGCTGCCACACGCGTTCTCCAAAAGAACTAGAAACAGGAAAGTTCGTGGGGCGTGACTATGCAAACGTTTGTGCACACGGTGTTCGTTTCGCAATTTTCTGTCGCGCGAAGCCGAGATAAGCGACGATCAAACAGGAAACCTCGAGGAAGCGGATCGAACACCGCCCTTCCACGTAGTCGGCCGCGGTTCTCGTCGACGAGCGAAATTCTTCTTTCCAAGAGCCATTTAAACTTCGACAATTCTAGAACACGAATTCCATCCAACCCTCTATATAACAGTAGCTTCATAGAAAAGAAACACAAAGTTCAACGTTCGTAGTCTTAAATATACACAGATTCAATACTATTTGATTTCGACAATCTTTTTCTACAATTAATTATAATATAATTGTTTCACTTTTAACAGTAGCTTCATAGAAAACAAAATTCAACCTTTGTAGTCTTAAATATACACAGATTCGATATTTGATTTCGACAATATTTTCCTATAATTAATTATAATTGTTTCACTTTTAACAGTACCTTCATAGAAAACAAAGTTCAACGTTTGTAGTCTTAACTACAATTAATTATAATAGTATCACTTTTCAAATAAGCCAAAAACTTCCATATTAAATTATCGAACTAACAATAAGTTTCAACAACCGTTCATAATACAAAAATAAGAATCCTCAGATCCTCAAAGGGTCAATAGAATACAATAACAGCAGCACAGATAAAAGAGAACGAAATGAACATGCATTGTCTGACCTTAACGTACGTAACCTCGTTTCGGTAGTTATCAATATTTTAACATAAAGACATTCCTCACAATTACGATAGCAAACCGCCGCCGTTCCGAACGCAAGGCTGTCGTCCAATTAATTTTAAAGGACACGAGTGCCTCGTTATATAATACTTACCTCCGTAAGAAAGGCGGAGAGTTTTCCGGAGAAAGGAAAGGGGCCGGAGTTTGTGGGGGACATTTGTAATCCGATGCGTGCCACTTCTTTTCATCCTGACGAGGGCCCGGCGAACAAAGGATCCGGGGCGTCGGTGCGGTATCCCTGCGCCGCGGACCGAGTCATTAATATACATCAATTTCGGGGGGCCGCGGTAAACACCTACGCAGCGGGGCCGAGCCACGGAATTCCAATGAGCGACCGCCGCGAGTCTTTTAATTCGAATCCTTTCAGAACCGTCGTTACGTAGTCACGACGTCGCGTCCGTGATCAATCTTAATCCTCTCTCACCCACGAAATCAGGAACGATTCTACTCTTCCTTCTTTTTCACCTCTGCCTCGCTTCGATCGGTCGATGAACGACAAGATACGGGCCGTATCGCGTCTTCGGATCTATAGGGATCTACAGGAACTAGGGACCATGACTTTTATAAATAAAATGGAGCGGTAGGATAATGTTTATTTTTTCAAAGAGGGATTAGGGTAATTGGAAGAAGTGAATAACTGATATTGATTTCTCTCGTTGATGTTTATTGAACTTTGTAACAACGTGTTGCGTGAAGATTTTCAATAGCAGAAATATTGATTCATTTGGATTTAAAGTGAATAATACTCTTTTGTAAAGGTTTTCGTTATTTAACTATTGAAGCAATTTCGATGTGTTCTTTGTTCGGAGGAATATAATAAATCATTGTTATTGGCAATGTAGCGTGGATGGAAGATTAATATAATACAGCAAATATTTGAATTTCATTATGAAGCATAGTGTCAACTGTGTAGCTTTGTTTTGCTGACAATGGACGATGGATGGAAACTTTACATGTAGAAAGTGAATCACAAACGTTGATACGTCCCGGTAAATGTTTTATTTATTCAACTGTCGAAGCAATTTCGATGTGTTCTTTATTCGAAGGAATATATGCAATTCCTATAAAAATTGTAACAATAAATTATTTTCAGTTTCTTTAGGCACTATAGTACTGAAATGAAACTATTTATTTTCAAAGTCATTTCGAATATTCGATGCTTCGAAGATATCAATAATTGCCAAACAAATCGAAACCAGTCATGTTGACTGGTACGGTAGTTCTAGTGTTAACCCCTTGACGTACAATTTATTTTCGCTACTAAGCTCGTAACATTTTACTATCGGCAATTTAGAAGTAGCAAAATTTTCCATTCTACTTCAAGCGGAAATTTCATTTGAAGATAGATTGTTAACAGCGAAATGTGCTTTGATCCGTGGGTAATGAACAACATTGATTGTTGTCAAATTAGTCTAGAGATCTTCATCACGAGTCTCACTCGTCCTTGTAGAGCGAACGCAGATAGAGTATGCCTACAATTTTTCTTTCTCCCATAAATTATTAACGACAAAGTAATCGTATCTCAGAACCGAGGAAGAAATAGCGCCAGGGGTTAAACGGAACGTATAATTTTTAACCCTTAAAATGCTGAGTGGGGTCTTCCAGGAGGCCCCAGTATGTTTATAGCTAAAAACAAAATAAAAAAAGAGAAAACACATAAAATATGAAAAATTACAAGAAATTACAAAATTATTAAGGAAAACTACTTTCTGGGCTCCCTATAGAAACCCACTCAGCATTTCAAGGGTTAATCGGGTAGTCTTGAGAACTTACGCGATTAATCTGCAAATTCGATAATAAATAAGTTTCAGTAATCAATGAGATTTATAGAGAATCGTTATGATAAACCATTATTTTCTATTCCGGATAGCAAACTCGATTCAACGATGAGCTATGAGACTCGTGGTACGAAGGATTTAAGTTAAACTTGAAAGACACCCTGTAGATGGGGAAACAAGCCGTGGTCTCGTCGTGCACCGCCATGGGGGTCAGCACGCGACCAGCTGTCCCGCCGATGGGGGTTACACGGGGCACGGGGAGCAAGAGAAAAAAAGGGCCGATCGGTTGGGGTGGGGATATTTAACGAAGGGAACGATCCTGCTCTGCGGTGTAGGGTCAACGCACTCCAAAGGTTTCCGCTTCTGTGCCACTTGACTCCGAAATTTCGGCCTTTGTTTCTCGTTCGCTGGCAGATTGCACCTATCGCGGTGGGTCCTGCGTGTCTGTCTAATAGGTGGCTGTCACTGAAACTCATCGTCTTTATCCAACCGTTGGTTCGGCTGTACGTAAAGATTTCTGCATCCTCAGACTTAGCAAAGGGAGATTGCTTTAACCCTTTGCGGACGAAGATTCCTTGAAATACAAATAACCTCTAGCATGAAGCTAAATTATATATCGATTACTTAATACTAGGTTTACTGAACGCGTCAATTTAACGTGTTCTATGAACATTATTTGGTAAATGTTTACATTGATTTCGATCGATTCAATTATACAAATATGTATCCTAATTATGTACTTTTAAATCTGTAATTTCCAAGATCCAAGTAGATAACAATTTTTCTAGGAACAATAAAATAAACCGTACAATAAACTTCTGTAAACCTAGTGTTAACACTGGAACTACCGAGCATTTGATACGATTAATATGTAATTCTTATAAAAACTGTAACAATAGATTATTTTCAGTTCCTTCAGACATTCATTATAGTACTGAATGATACTATTTATTTTCAAAATCATTCCGAATATTCAATGCTTCGAAGATATCAATAAATGCTAAACAAAGAATCGAAACTAGTCATTTTTACTGGTACGGTAGTTCTAGTGTTAAATAATAGAAAAAAGAGGAAGCTACGTACTGATCTCTTGCTGTTCGAGTAATTCAATCTGTTTGCGACTTAATTTTCGAAGCATAGGAATTTCATCCTGTCGAAATATCCTACAATAATACCGTAAATAATAATAATATCGTAAATAACTGTACAATAAATGCCCGTAAACCTAGTGCTAATTTCTTCAAGAGAATTCAAGATTATTAACATTGCTTCATCATCGAACCTAGCAAAGGAACATTGCTTTAAATTCAATTAGTCTCTAAGTGTGATAGGATTGAATGAAATTAATTCGTAATGCTAGATCCGATGCAGAGATTGCGTAGACTTCATGATTAGAGATAATACAGACTTGAACCACTCGGAGTAAACGCGATTGTTCGAAACTCAGACACTGAAACTTTAATACAATTAAATGAGCTCTTTATTTAGCCTTCGGGAGAACCCTTAACCCTTTCATTACGAAGTACTCTGCTAGGGGATCATCAGTATCATACTGAAACGTTTACTTTTGGTCTGAAGAAATGAATTGCATGAATGCGAACAAGAAAGATCGACTGCAGCACAGTGTATCATTAAAAATATTCAATTTTATTAACACTAGGTTTACGGGAATTTATTGCACACTTCATTCTATTATTCCTAAAAGAATTGATGCTCGTTTGTTTAGATTGTGGAAACTGGAGATTAGATAGTGGATAATTGGGGTACGTGTCAGTGTGATCGCATCAATCAAAATCGGCGTAAACATTTACAAAATAATATTTCTAAAATCCAATATGCGTCAATTTCACGCGTTCCGCAAACCTAGGGTTAAAAATAAAAATATCATTGAAATTGAAAGCTTTTCAGCTAGGTACTCTGTTTCTCATGGCACACCTTGTGTATGCACCTTCAGATCGACTGCAACACAGTGTGCCGTTAAAAATATACAATTTTCTTAAAAATAAAAATATCATTGACATTGAAAGTTTTTCATCTAAGCACTCCGTTTTTCATCGCACACCCCGTGTATGCTTCATAAAGTACATGAATATTTCAGGATATGCACCGAACTTTCGCGGTCGAATGATTAATAGAAGGAATAAATTTCCCCTTGATCTTAATTCCCGTGAATTGATTCCTGAAAATCCGTAGGCACGTCTCGCGCAGTCTAGTCGGAACTTTTCGTGTCACGACCGTAAACGTCTTGATTTACTGTCACGTGAGAACGTACCTTTACGACAGATTTTACGACACAGCCGCGCGACAACTCTCCGTCTCTCTATTTCTCTACACGTGTAGCCGCCCGCTCGCGCACGCTCGCCCGTGCGCCGATGTTATTGTTCGAGCAGCCGTTTGAAATCGAGTCGTACAACATTATCGGCGAACAGGAAAAATGGCGAACGGCCCGCGCGGAGGGACCCGTGTGCGCAAGAGCGATCGAACGCGTCGAATTCGCCGAGCGATTGGCAGAGCGCGCGTCGTTCCGGGAACGGATAATTGACGGGACACGGTGACAAGCTTGACCCTTCTGATTGGCCTCGTGTTTTTATTGTCGCTAAACGCGCGAATCCGGTAACCCGTCCACGGTGTCTATAACTGATCGGCGTTTCGAGCGGAGAACAGCTTACGGTGAAAGTAGAGTACTCAGAACTGCGCGGATTAGAGTCGAGTACCCGGTATACTCGTCATGAGAAAATTACCAATATCTGCGTGTTAACGAGTACGTTCGGCGTGGGAAAGGATTAATTACTTTTCGCTATAAACATTGAAGTTTCTGCGGAAGCACAGTATATTCCCTTCCTTGGAATAATGGAATCGATAGATTTATCTATTGTAGAAGAAAATGTACGAGTGTTCTCAAACATCGTTAAACGGTTGAGAGATCGTTGAGGCTGGAGTTAATGAGTAAAGCAAATGAACCTATTACTAGTAAACGTAGACTCGGCGTTATTGTAGAGAAATGGGGACGAATTTGATATAACTTTATTGTTTTGTTATTTATATAGAAGAGATTGAATATTTTATATGTGAGACGTTTTATATATGAGAATACTTATACCCTGTATAAGAGATTTTATATGTGAGCCGTTTCTTTAGAAAGTAGCTCAAGTCCATTAGACAAAAATCAAATTAATCGTTACAACAGTTACAGTTCTAATCTTTTTATTCTTTAACGGTTTTTTATCTTCTCTAAGCTAACTTATCCTATAAGAAGTTTAATAGAAGGAATAGAACACAGAGAGAAGTAACGACACGTGGTCTGGTTCCGTGTACCCAGATAATTTCTGTGTATTCAAGATCCCACGGGTAAATTGTAAATACACTCGGTTGTCTCGCAAGCAACGGCTCCAATAACGGACGCAGTTCCTCGGGAATTACGGATCCCGAAGGGGATCGATCGGTTTATCGGGCCTCCCGCGCGACCTCGTTGAAGAGTCTCGAGGTCAACGGAAAATCAGTGTAATTGCGTAACGTTGTGTCACCCGACTTTCCTCGAAAAGCGAACCGGCGTTCATAAATCCTTTCTAGCTGTTGACACCGCGTAACTGCCGCGGCGAGTCTTATTCATCGGTTTATTTTTAAGCGTGTTACCCCACCACCGCGCCGGCACACAGGAATTACGTAAGGAGCGCGTTTCAAGGGTGAAACGGCACGCAGTCGGGGTGCCGTTTCGTGGATCGCGAATCGCCAACAGTTTCTCCCGTTCCTCCGCTCGGGTTTCCGCTTATGGCGCGTTTCCAACGGAACGAATCCTTGTTCGTCCTCCGCTACGATAGAGTTGAAGCTCGAACGAGGATTCGCTCGTTTCTGGTCAATTCCGAGAGCTTGATCTTAGAAAGAAATCCTTATTTATCGAATATCATCATGTAGATGAATGCACCCTAGATTTTAGAAGCAAAGCTTTATTTGCCTAATATTCTTAGATACCCAAGGAATCGTTTGATTTTGGAAACAAACGTCTTCGTTGAATATTCCTGAATACTCGACCAATACCAGCTCGATTTTAGAAGCAAAGCTTTATTTGCCTAATATTTTTAGATTCTCAAGGAATGATCTTTGATTTTACAAAGAAATGCTTTATTTACCGAATATCACCATGTAGATGAATGCACCCTCGACTTTAAAAGCAAAGCTTTATTTGCCTAATATCTTTGGATTCCCAAGAATAATCGTTTGATTTTGGAAACAAACGTCTTCGTTGAATATTCCCGAATACTCGACGAATGCACCCTAGACTTTAGAAGCAAAGCTGTATTTGCCTAATATTTTTAGATACCCAAGGAATGATCGTTTGATTTTGGAAACAAACGCTCTCTTCGTTGAATATTCCTTTATTTGCCTAATATTTTTTGACACCCAAGGAATAATCCTTTGATTTTCGAAACAAATGCTGTCTTCGCTGAATATTTCCGAATACTCGACGAATACCCCCTCGACTTTTCAAACAAGTGCTTTCATCGAATATTTCCGAACATTTTCCACCACGATTTCCAAAACAAATATTAACGCAAGATGGAATAATTCATCCACGTTTCTTTCATACGAACACTCGCTCGCCTTCGAGGCGAGCACAGTCGAGTTGCCATTTACACGAAATCGACCGAGCATTCGGTATAAACGCTCCATTAAGGAAACGGTCGCCAACGTCCGATCGCGGAGGAAAAAATCCCGCAGTTTACCGTTTCCGTCGCGCGCCGACGTCGCGGTTTTCCGAATCGGCGATGCAACGACGGTCGTTCGATGCCGTGGCCATTTCGCGGCGGAGGCGAGCGTATCGGCGATAGGATCGTTCGGGGAAACGATGTTGGCACGAGTCTCGGGAGATAAGATAGCGCCGGAGACGGGCGAAATGTTTAAAAGAGGCGCGGCGCACGAAAAATGACCAGAAAAATGGCCGCGAGCCGGCCCACGCGGGACACAGCCGGCCCGAAACGATTGCAAAAAACGGGGGGCCGTGGGAGAAATTCGAAAAGGCGAGAGGATCGCCGTTGCGACACCCACGCCCGTCGTTCCCGTTTTTCTCAGCCGAGATGTCGCTGATTGCGGGAATGCCATTGATCGACATCTTATTTATTTATTTGTTTATGTACAAAGAACGGAATAATGGACGCAACTCGAGCTTCCAAAAGATTTGTATCACAGTCCTAAGTCATTTAAATTTCTGTAGATGAATATGGGTAACGTAGTCGTACATTTTTAATTTTTTTAGAACGTTGACAGCGTAGTCCTACGTTGCTCCAAATTTTTGAGAGGTTGGAGGGAATAATAGACGCAACTCGAGCTTCCAAAAGATTTGTATCACAGTCCTAAGTCATTTAAATTTCTGTAGATGAATATGGGTAACGTAGTCATACATTTTTAATTTTTTTAGAACGTTGACAACGTTCCTACGTTACTTCAAATTTTTTAGAAGATTGATAGTTATACTTAATCATACGGGATTTTAGTAATTTATATACATACAGATTTGATCCTTGCAGTATTCAGATTCGATGAAATACGCGATCCTGAATGTGTTAACCCTTTGCACTCAGGAGGTGACTCTCAGTCACTTGATTTGACGCAGTGAAACTATAGAATGTGATATTTAATGTTAAACTTTTTATAATGGCATATGGATATATAGTGTTACTGTAGTATAGATAATGGAAAGATGGATCTCGAGTAATCGAGAGCTACAAATAAGTATATATATTTAATCCTTTGCACTCGGGAGGTGACTCTCAGTCACTTGATTTGACGCAGTGAAACTATAAAATATGATATTTAATGTTGAACTTTGTATAACGTCTCAATACGTGAAATATAGGAATAAAATATCTTTGTTACTTAATATATTTGTGTTTTCCCTTCAAGTTAATTTCAGAGAATATCGTTTTTGCCTCGTCAAAAAGTGTTAAATATTTTTAGTAAGAAATTGCCGAGTGCAAAGGGTGTTAACATCCTGTGGTGCCACTTCTTCGAGAATAAAATAGACGAACGCTGACGCCATCTTTCATGCAGAAACTCTTCTAGCGTTTCGTTTCGTGGTTACCAATCTGAGCTACGCGATACGCGACTCGCAACTAATGTTCCATTATTCTATCCAACTCTCGTGTTTATTTCTAGACGGCAAGTAATCCTGTTACCTACAGCGGAAGCAATGGCGGTAAAAGAATGAGAAAACACAATGAGTATAACGATGAAGCAAAAATAAAATGGCATCGACGGAATGTGGTTAATACTGAAACTACCGAGCACAATTGACTTTTTAAAATTTTGCTATAGAAACTCCAAGAGTGCGTCTATTCAGACTTTCATTGATTTACAATTCAATTTGCGTAGTGCTAATTGAATTTCTTTTATAATTTCTCAGAGAAACATTTGTTACCTTTCTAATAATTGCAAAATTCAGACTTTAATCGATATACAATTCAATTTGCGTGGTGCTAAATGGATTTCTTGAATAATTTCTCAGAGAAACATTTGTTAGCTTTCTAATAATTGCAAAAAGACATCAGGCATGGGTCATTTAACCCGTCTGTTTTTAGTGTTAAGTGAGTTTAACGTTGAGGTAAATGTCTTGACTGAAATTATAGAATTCAGTATTCAACATCGAGTTTTGCGTTCGAGTGGAATAATCGTGTTTCTTAATTTCTATACGAATATTGTTCACACCAGCTTCGACAAGCATCACCTTTCTAATAACTGCAAAAAGAAGACATCAGGCATGGGTGATTTCACCCCTCTGGTAGTTTTAGTGTTAAATGTAAATTTCTTTGGACAGAAGAAAGGAGGCGTCGATCGGAGGCGTATTAATAGTGGTGAAATGCATCGAAGTACGAAGGGATAAGATCTATTTTAAAGTTGTTGCGTTACGCGCGTCGCGTTTTCTCTCGAGGTGAAACAATCGGCGGGTGCGTAAGTACTTACATGGAATTAAAAGTGACGAAGACGGGCTCGCTGGATCTCCTTTAATCAGTCGGCAGAACCGTCGACGTCTGATTCAACCGCGGTTTCGATATTTGCATACAACTGCGCATCCATCCTTGGTTGCGTTGTCGTCCGCGCTTCGGAACGCGACGATTAATCGCCGGGATCGATGATCGACGCCCGATCGATTCGCATTTTAACGAGGTTTCATGCCGAAACGACGGATGACCTTGCGCCAATCCTTCGCGGACGAGAATTTTCGAAACTCTTGAAGAACTTTTCATTAAAAAATAACTGAAGTCTTAAATACTGGAAAAAGAACTACGTATCGATCTCCTGTTGAACAACTGAATTGTTCATTTGCAAATTATGGTGGAGGAGGCTTGACCTTCTGCACTCGAAAATTCATTCGCGTATTCTATATCTTACTATATCATTTTCAT